GGTCTCACTGCCCAGGCAGGTCTCGAACCCGTGGGCTCAGGCAATCCACTCACCTCAGCCTCCCAAAGGCGAGGGATTATAGGCTGAGCCACCGAGCCCGGCTAAAACAATTTTTTTTTGTAGAGGCAAGGTCTTGCTATATTGGCCTGACTGGTCTCGAACTCCAGGCCTTAAGCGATTCTCCTACCCCATCTCCCAAAGCACTGGGATTACAGGCGTGAGCCACTGTACCTGACCATTTTAACTATTATGACTGCCCCTGCATCTCATTTTAAACAAATCTGGAATATAGAGATCTAGACATATGTAAAAATAAAGGAGGCAGTGGGTGTGGGGGCTCACACCTGTAATCCCAGTGCTTTGGGAGGCCACGGTGAAAGGATAGCTTTAGCCCAGAAGTTCGACCAACCTGGGCAACACAATGAGACCTTGTCTCTACAAAAATAAAAAATTAGCTTGGTGTGGTGCAACGGGCCTTTTGTCCCAGCTACTCAGGAGGCTGAGGTGGGAGGACTGCTTGAGCCCAGGAGGTCGAGGCTGCAATGAACTGGAATCATACCACTGCACTGCAACAGTGACAGAGCGAGACCCTGTCTCAAAAAATAAAAATAAAATAAAAGGAAGTGCTATTTCTCTTAAAATAAATTATTTGTTTTATAAAACAAGATGGTGGCCAGGTACGGTGGCTCAGCCTGTAATCCTGTGCTTTGGGAGGCCGAGGTGAGTGAATTGTCTGAGCTTGCGGGTTCGAGACCCGCCTGGGCAACTTGGCGAGACCTCACCTCTACAATAAATCAAAAAAATTAACCAGGCGTGGTAGTGCACGCCTATAGTACCGGCTACTTGGAAGGCTGAGGCAGAAGGATTGCTGGAGCCCAGTAGGTCAAAGCTGCGGTGGCTGGGAGCATGCCACTGCACTCCAGTCTGGGCGACAGAGTGAGACTCCAACTCAAAAAAAGAGAAAAAAGAAAAAAAGAAAACAAGAAGGCAAAGATTTCAACTTTATCTGGTTTAAGTATAATTCATTACAAAGGCTTATGTAATCTTTAAATTAAACTAATTCTATAACTGATACAGTATTTGAAAACATTTTCAACACCTATTATTCTTTATGATGAATGCTGTTTTAAAAGTAGCAATCGGAGGTTTAATATGAAGAGTAGGTGAGGCAGATATCTTGGGGACAGAATGACACCAACAAGACTACGTTTTACTTACAGAGAATGACACCTCAAAACTTGTTTTCTAAAAGTTTCTAATGCTTTAACAAGTCTCATTTCTTTAAGATTCATCTACAAGGTCTTGTGTTTTACACAGAGGGTAGGACATGAAAACAAAGAATTTAGAGGTGAAAAAACCACAGAAAGGTCATGGAACAGAGGCTAGGAAAGAAGGAGCTTGCGGGTTGAGGCCCATGGGTCAGCTGGAAAAGTTAGGCAGCCTTTTCTACCGGCGAGAGCTAGTCTGACGAACAGCAGACACAAGTTAATTTCATAAACCAGTAACGAAATGAGAGGCCAGGTGTGAGGCTAGGACACACACACCTGAGGCAGGCACTTGTCAGGTCCGCATCTGAACAGCACACCCGCCCAGCTGAGCATGAGTGCTAACAATCGTGTTGGCCACACAGAGATCAGTAAGCCACCCACAACTTCCTGCCCGAGACACATTCAGCACTGGACACAACTACTCAGAAACATCACCCAAGGCAAGAGCAGGAGGCACAAGCAGAGCCACAGGCCAGGCCTCCTCTAGTGGGAGAAGAGGTGGAGGGAGAGAGCTGGGAATCAAGAAGGCTGGGCCCAAGTCTAAATGGGCTTAAGGGCAACGCTCAGTCAGCTAGCAAACGTCTTCGGGAATTGATGACACACCGGGTAGTGGGGCTAGAGAATGAGCGAGCTGAGTTGGCCCCGACATGCCGACAGTGAGCCTGCTCACTTATAGGAAGCATGTCTGTAAGTAAAATACAAAACAGAAAGATTTAAAAATACTACGAGTCTTCTACTGGTGAGCACATTATGTGCTGTTTTAAGCAGTAACTGTTCTCCCAAGGAAACAGCCACAGAACCCAATAGCACAGTCGTACAAAAGCAGCAGGCAGGACTCGCAATGTGCCTCCAGCGTTTGTGTGTCTAGAGAGGGCAGCACCGTGTGGAGACAGGCTGGAGGAGCACAAGAAAGACTTCCAGAGGAGGGGACAGGGAGGCAAAGGCCATGAGTGAGACAGGAGGAAGAGTCGAAGCTGGGGCAGGGTGGGGGGCCCACGGAGCATCAGCAGGAATGAATTCCTACCGAGGTGGACAGCCAGAGTTGTGAGTAGAGGCTCTAAGCATCCCTGCAATTTTCCGCAGCAGTCCTGACAGCTGGGATTCGGAGAGTTTCCAAGAGAATTTTGCAGCACTTGTGAGAACGTGCTTTAAATAACAGTGGCGTCAAGCTGGGAGGAGAGGGGTGAGGCCAAGGGAAGGACTAAAAAGGGAAAGGCCACAAGACTAGAGGCTGACAGGGAAAGAGGGGCTGATTTTACAGAGAGACAAAGAGGGGGAGGGTTATGATCTGGCTATGATCTGAGTCAGGAGTCCCAGAGCTCGTGATCTTGTGAGTGAAGAATTCTAAAAATCTAGCGTAATTTCAGGAGAAGAAGACTGAAGCGGCCGAAGAACGGCATCGTTAGAAGTGGGAAGGTAAAGTTATCATATTTTTGTTGTTCAAACAGTAGCAGTAGTGAAGTGATTCTCACTTCCCTTTGAATCCTAACAATGCAATGAGGTAGTTAAAATTATTTACATTTTCTAGAAAAGAAAACTGAATCCTTTTCAGGAAGCTGCGTGTGAAGTCAGACTGCCCACAAACGGCCAAAATCATACTGAGACCCAGGTTCTCAGACTCTTACAACCTCCAGTCTGATCGGATCCTGGTTTTATCCTTTCAGATGCTGTCACTCTGACTTCAGAACCAGAATGTTCCAAAGGTGGAAAGAAAGATTCTCGCTGAGGATAAAAGACAGGAGCCCAGGTCGACAGGGGCAAGGGAGGTAGGGGACAGCATTACGCAGTGTCGACTCCCTCCTGGTCATCCTTATGGATTCCGAGCAGAAGCTGGAGGAGACTAGAGAGGAGAAAGCCAGGACTCTTCCATTTGGATAAAATACGCTGTTAGTATAAGTTTCTCAAAAGCAAGGGGAAAAGGATGCGCATCTGCCTTAAAATTATTAAAAGAAATACTAAGTAGTCAATGAAGACATATGTTCCAAATGTAAGTTCTGATTATGTTATGCTCTTGTAATCTGGGAATTTTTTTGAGTTACTGAATTTAAGAGTTCACTTGCACATATGCATGTTCATGCGGAGAAGACAAGCATACCATGCTGGAAGGAGGAGAAGCATGAAAGCACACTAAGTTGGCTAACAGGAGTTGACAATAAATGCCTACTCAGGCAGAAGCAAAACACTGATCTTTGAAAATCATCCCCAAAGTCATGTTAAACACTTTTCACCACCATTAATGTGATGAACATGTCCAATGAAACACAGAAATGATTTATTTTGCAAAATCTATTTAGGCAGCATCATTTTACCCAACAACCTCACAGATACACACAAGGAAAAGAAAAACTAGCAGACCTTAAAGTTCTAGGAAATCAAATATAATACTCTCAGGGTAATATTTAAAGAATTAAAATTAAGGCAATAATGTATTTTATTATAAAAAAACTTTTAAGGAAGAAATGATAAAATGTATACCTAAAAATACATTTTGAAATACCCTTCACTTGAGGAAGATAAAGAACTTCTAGCAGCGCTAGATCGCTAGGTTCACTCATGAACAGCTTGAACGGGCCCTGCTCTGCTAGCCTAGGAACCACCTTACCATGTCCCCAGCGTTGCCATTACCTTCCACAGTGAACCACAACAGCAACAAGGTCGTACATTCTGTCTGGATTGGTTGCATCACCGGAAGTGTTAAACAGACGAAGCTCTAGAGGAAAAACTACCCGGTAAGAAAGCTTTGTGTATCGATGAAGTTGATCCATATATTTAAATCTCTTCAGATGTAGAGCTAGAATCATGGGCAGTTTTTTAACTTTCATCCTATTAAAAATAAAGATGAAAACAAAAATTCATAAAAGTCAGGAAAATGACCTTGAATTATCAAACTTTATATCCAATTAAGACAGTTACTGGTCAGTTTTGCTCATTTCTACTAGTTATGTTTACACCGGCACAAAATACTGTACACCTTAAGACCACTGCAGCACACCCATCATTGCCACATCACATAAGCTGATGCAACACTCAACATGGCTCCAAAACAGACAGAATGGCATCAGTCCCTGATGAAGAAATTGGCATTTTTTCAAACACAGATCCACCATAATAAGGCTAGATGCACGTGTACCCAGAAGTGGTGGAGGAAAAAAGGGCTTTTTTGAAGCTGCCAATTCCTTTGGACATGAGTGTAGACTGAAACTCATTTGTTCTATCAATCTATAACATGCAGGAGCATACTGACAATAGGAGATTAAAATAAGAAAAGCACTGAAGACCACTCAAGGAAGGGTGTTTGCCAGAGATAAGAAATAACTCCATATTAAGAACAATGACTACGCATCCTAGAGAGGGAATGAAATAGCCTGGAAACTTAGGAGTTAGGTTTCAAACGGTGAAGCGCAGGCTGCTCTTGACGTTCTGAATAATCTCCCAGAATTTACCCCTCGATGCAGTTTCTCCCTGAGACTGCCTTTGTGCTCCCACTTCTCCTCCAACAGCCCATTCTTCTTTCTTTTTTCGTTTTTTTGGAGTTGGAGTCTCACCCTGTCGCCCAACTGGAGTGCAGCGGCCGCTCCCGGCCACCGCAGCCTCGCCCTGCTGGGCTCCAGTGATCCTTCCGCCTCAGCCTTCCGAGTAGCTGGACCTACAGGCACGTGCTACCATTCTTCTTTCAAAGGCTCAGCTCAAGTGTCACAGCATCTGGCACAAATAACCCTCTCTTCACTCCACCAGCACTTCACAGGGTCACTTTATACATGTCAAGCTTATTACACAGGAGAACACTCAGCTCATTAGTGGTGATTCGTCTTCTAGGCTCTGAACTCTTCGCAGGGGAAACCATTCTCTTCATTTGTGTTTCTCCAGTACCCACAGCATGCCTGGCATAGGATAGACACTAGCCAGATGTTGCAGAACTGAGGGTTCAGTGAAACAAAATACTTCTCATAACTAAAAAAAAAGCATACCAAACCACTGTCTCTAATAAAGTGGAAAAAAATCACTTTACAGCATTATTCCAAATCTGCATTCTACAGACCTTAAATGGGATGAATAGCTTATTATTCCTAAAATATTTACTACTCAACTAACTTGGCCTTTGAAAACATTAGCCAAAGTAAAAGTAAACATCTAGTCATTCCTGGAAAGCAATCCAGTAATATGAATTAAGGGTACATATGTCCTTCATCTCAGTAATCCTATTTCTAGAAATAGAAATTAAATACATCATCTCAAAAACGTCACTTGTGGGAAAAGTCTACTTGTAGAGTTATTTTACAATGTGAAAAATCCTAACTATTCAACAACAGAAAATGTTGAAATAAGTTACAACACAAACATAGCAGAATATTATACAACTTAAAACAATGTTGTTGAAAGTGGCTAGGTGGTGGTTTCTTTTGCTCATGTCAGCTCTGGCATGTCACTTTCGTTTCTTCCTTCTTTCTCGAATAAACTTTGTTTGAAAACTTAAAAAAAGGAAAGAAAGTGGCTAAGTGGCATGGGAAGACACTTAAGAGAAGCAGAAAAGATATAAAATTACACATAGACTAATTCAACTACAAAACATCAGCTCTTTGATGACAGATGTAGACTTGCTAAAACACAATATTTACAAAACAAAGCACTTTTGAAAACGACCAGCAGAGTGTCTACGCAAGAGATGCCTTTGCTCAAGTTAAGCCAAGCTAAGATTAGGAAGACAGGGAGTGGACGTGGCTGGAAGGTTAGGAAAATATGCTTTTAGAAATTAAATAAGGGGCAGAGAATCCACACAGAAAAGGGAGAGAAAAATCTTAGTCACAGTAGATAAAATATGTTTGATCAGACAGCACACAATGCCTGTAAATCATAGTCAGCAGAGTTCCTTCCAGAGAACTGTGGCTTCCACAAAGAAACCAAACACCCATGGGAATAAACATGAAATTGTCAAATGAAAATGTGTGTGGAGCCATCTTTTACAGATGAGAGCCTAGCTTACAAAAGCTTCCTCATATTGAGATGATTCCAGAAGAAAGAGAAAACTGCTCGGACATACATGTAAGGAGTGTGAAATTCATTATGTAGATTTTGCAGCAAAAGGAAAAAAAAGAAGATAGTTTCCTGCTCAAGACCTAAGTCCATCAACACACTCAAGAACTGATAGGATTCTGCTTTTCCTTCCACTGAAACTTGTATGGAGGGTGGTTACATAAGGGACCTCTTGATTGCTGTCACTGTTTAAAAAAAGTTATCTTAGAATATAACATTTTTCTACAAAAAAACAGATTATGTTGAGGAAAAACATGAAGATAACTTTTTTCCCTTTTATCTATTTATGTGTAAAAGTTTGAATTAAACATTTTAAAATCTGTAAACCAACCTGTAAATTAATTTTCTATTAAAATTTTTTTTTATTTTAAAGATGTGGGGTACAATTCAGGGTTAGGCATACAAATAATTTTCTATTTAAACTCATTTTTTAATGGCATCCAGCTGCCACACAAGCAACTATTTCTTTATTTTTTAAGTATGTGGGGTATAATTCAGGGTTAGGTATACATACGTTCATTATGCAGGTATCCTTGTTGATGAGGTAAGCCCCCTCCCTCCCCGCCAATCCCGCCCCTTCCCCCCCTATAAGCAACTATTTCAAGATTTGTATGAATTTATATTATTCAGTCATCCATATCTGGGGTTCTACATCTGCAGATTCAGCCAACTGTGGGTCAAAAATTAAAAAGAAATTTAAAAACAAAAATGGAGCCAAGTTCACACCTGTAATCCCAGCACTTTGGGAGACCATGGTGAGAGGACTACTTGAGTCCAGCACTTCAGTATCAGCCACAACACAGTGAGACCCTGTCTCTACAAAAAAAAAAGAAAGAAATTAGCCGGGTGTGCATGCCTGAAGTCCCACCAACTCAGGAGACTGAGAGGAAGGGACTGCCTGAAGCCAGGAAGTTGAGGACTGCCTGAGGCCAGGAAGTTGAGGACAGGGTGAGCTGTGATTGTGTCACTGTGCTCCAACCTGGGCAACAGCGTGACAGATTGAGACCCCTAGTCAAAAAAATAAATAAAAAACAATGCAACAAAAATAGTAACAGGGCTTGTCCTCCGTGGCCCTGCGGTTCCTCCTGGCAGCTCTGTCAACTCTACCCATTCTGCCATTAGGCTTCAGACCCTAGCCCCGACAGAGCCAGTCTCCTTTCTTTGGGCCCAGCAAGCACCCCAGCCCCTGTGAGGGCCCTAGGCCTTAAGTCCCCCGGGGGCTATGGGTTTGAGACTCAGCAGGGCAGAGGAGAGGGCCCTGGAAGGTCTCCAGGTCTCGGTGAGTTCAGCATGTGCTCAGTGGTAGGCCAGGTCTGGAAGAGGTAGTGTGCTGTTGCTGTCCTTGGATTGTGGCTGGACATTCCAGGACATCAGATTTGACATCTAAGTGCCTTTCTATTGTAGTTTATGTCTTTCCTGCTCTGGACTCCACTGATGCTAGCTTAGGGATTTAAAAAAAAGGAGAGAGAGATAAGCTAAAAACTGTAACAACAGATTTCTCCATGTGAAAGGAAGTTTATAAAGAATCAAAAGGACCAGGCACAGTGGCTCAGCCTGTAATCCCAGCACTTTGGGAGGCTGAGGTGAGCGGATTGCCTAAGCCCACGGGTTCGAGAATGGCCTGGGCAACAGAGTGAGACTCCAATTCAAAAAACAAAAAAAGAAAACAATAAAAGTGAGTTGTAACATTAAATAAATAAATACATACATACATAAAATAAAACTAATATAAAAAGTGGAAGAATGGGAAAAAACCCCAATCCTAAGTAACCTGGCTATTCTAATGTCAAAGTATACTTCAAGACAAGGACTATTACCAGATAAAGAGGGACACTTCATAACGAGGAGGGTCACTTAATTAAAAGGGCATCACAATCCTAAAATGCTCCAAATATCACTGCTTCAAAATTGATAGAAGTAAAGAAATAAACAAATGCATAATAAAAGAGTTTGAATTCTGGACAGGCACGGCGGTGCATGCCTATAATTCCAGCATTTGGGGAGGCTAAGGTGAGAGGGTTGTCTGAGCCTAGGAGTTCAAGACCCGCCTGGGCAATATGGCGGGACCTCATCTCTACAATAAATTTTTTTAAAAAATTAACTGGGCATGGTGGTGCACACCTGCAGCCGCAGCTACTTGGAGGGCTTAGGTGGGAGGCTTGTCTGAGCCTAGCAAGTCAGCGCTGAGCTGGCCACTGCACTCCAGCCTGGGCAACAGAATGGCAACCTGACTCAAAAAAAAAAGTTGCAATTCTTAACAGACTTCTCTCACTAACCACACACACACACACACAAATCAGTAAGGACAATTCTTAACAGACTTCTCTCACTAACCACACACACACACACACACACACACACACACACACACACACACACACACACACAAATCAGTAAGGACAGTGAAGACCTGAACAAGCTACTTGAAGATTTAACTGACATCTACAGAACACTCCACCCACACCACAGTCTACACCTTCTCAAGGACAATTAGGACATTCACCAGTGGACTGGGCAACAGAAGAGGCCTCAAATTTCAAACGATGAAATCACAGAGTGTGTCCCCTGATTAAAAAAAAAAAAAAATTAACAGAAAAGTCTAGAAAGTCCCCCCAAATATGGAAACAAAGCCACACACTTCTAAATAACCCATAGGACAAACAAAATCATAAGGGAAATCAGAATGTATTTTTAAATGGATGATAATGAAAACACAACATCCTATTTTAGGTCCTGCTCCCTACAAGCAGACCCTGAGACAAAAAGTGCCCTGTGGGTGTGGGGGAGCGGGA